ACTCTCCCTCCGGTTTTATTGAGGAGGTAAATATGGAGAGGGAGGGGATTTTTATTAGAAACAGAGCCCGGTGGTTTATTATTGAGGCTGATAGAGATTGTTGTGCATTGTGGTGAGATTCTTATAGGAATCGTGGTTTCTAAAATTAGGGTTTGCATGTGTTTTGCATGGAGCGAGAGAGTTAAGGTCGTTGAATGGCTACAAATTCTCTGGTCAAATATTAGCTTCGAGACTAAAAATTGGTCACCACAAGATGATTTTATTTCCTGTTCAAGAGGTGTTTCCATTGCTAAAAATAAAATGTAAAAGACTAAAGAATAAGTTTGTGGATATAACTAGGTTGCCTATTATATAGTACTCTAATTCTAACCTGATGACTTCTTTAAAAAAATTAGGATCCAATTTCACTCGTACGTGTATAAATAGTTTAATTTGGATAATTTGTTTCTATGTTTCAGCTTAGTGATTTATTCAAAAGTAAACTTGGCGAATTTTTTTAATCGAGTCTATCCCATTCCTAAGAAGTTAAAATTATAACTAGACATCAAAGTGATTAAGGTGACTAAGTATAGCTAGCTAGTGCTAGTAAAATATTATATTAGTACTCTCAATGGCGGTATGAAAGTATGAGTGAATATGTATTCGATTATGTGCATTTTTATGTGGGATTATTTTAAGGGTGATCATGTATATAAAAACAATTTTTTACTATCTGATGTGATCATGGTAAAAAATGTGGGAACGTAACAACACACGTAATGTTTTTTTTTTTATTAAAGCGACGTCCTCGTACTTAATATCTTCCTCGTAATGTATAGAGACAAAAAAAAAAAAAAAGTTGGAAGAGACATAAGGCTACAATCTATGAAGCACGGGTACTTTGTTTTGGTACCGTCTCTCGTACTGAAAACGTGCTGGAGACGGATACGGCTCGGAGACACCACCAAAACATTTGCGAGATGTCTCTAACATGTTAGGGACGTCGACAATTAACGGGGACGAAACCTTTCGAATTTAGAAACGTTTTTCAAACGTATTTTTGTTAAAAAATAGTATTTTCGTTGTTTGTTATATATATTAATTATTATTTTT